CTGCCCTGTTCCCTCCTCTCTCTCTTTTTTTTTTTTTTCCCCCAGAGAGTGGTACAGATAGGGAAATAACCTGCTTGCTTTTTTTGTAGAGGTTCATCCTCCTTTAGCCTGGCTTTCCCAAGAAATAAAGCTTCTACACTCCTGCTTTTGATAACCTGACCTATTATTTGCAAGCAAATTTGACACAGTGGCATGGTTCAAACAAATGTGAAATCTCTACTAGTTTCACGACAATGGGTAGAGACAAGTTTAATGCTGCTGTAGTAGAAAGGACTGATCAGTTCTGCCTTCATCGGGCTGTTGGACACGGGACAGACCGTGGAAACCAGGCTTTACCAGTTTTGCCTGTGGCCTGCCTTGTTTAAGAGCAACAATTCTGTTTGTTTACACTGGCAAGGCAAGCACAGAGGAAGGTGTGCTGGGCTTTGTCAGGCTCCCAGCCATTCTCAGATCCTTCTTGCCCGGGTGTACGTTTGTGCTAAAGTTTAGAGGTACACACTGCTCAAAATGGAGCCAGTTGCAGCCCATGGGTAAAAGTCACCTGGTCCTGAAACCAGCAAGATCCTGGACAGGAGCCTGAAAACCAGAGGGGGGAAAAAATGGGATGAAGAAATAGGGAATTCAGAGCTGATGTGGCAATGAGTGAACTTGTTATTTTTGTTAAATGTTTCACTCAGTGCAGCTTGTGTGTGTTTTGAGGAGTTACTTGGATGTGTGAAGGGGTGCTGACCTCTCTGCCTTTAGAAAAGTGTGGGAGATGCTTGTTTTAACTGGACTTCTCAGTCTCCTCCTTGTGTGTGGAAGACCCTCTGGAGTTGGTGACTGAGGCCAGGAGAATGTGGACTCCAAACTGGCATCGCTCACGAGTGCAGCAGTTGACCTGCTCTGAAGGATCGGCTTCCTAAAATGACTCACCCAGCTCCATGAAATAAGCAGTACCAGCCCTGGGGTACTGCTTACGGTGTTTCATCTCAGTACTAGCTGAGATGTTCCTACACAAGCTCTCAGCCTTGTCAGCCATGCTTCAGAAATGAGGTCCTTGACTTCTGTTTGCAAACGAACTTTGGCCAAACCCAGGTTGGATGGCATTTTGTCCTTTCTTTCCTCCCTGTAGGACAGGTGTAAATTACTAGCTGATATGTTAGGAATGCCACAATCACAACTGCTGCCTCTTTTACAGCTGTACCAATTACATTCCACCCTGATGATGATGAGGTGTCACAAGGCAGAAATAATGACAGATGAGTGAGGGGAGGAGATCATGGCGAGGGGAACGTGAGAACTGTCAAAGGAATGAAGGTCTGGGGGAAGGCAATGAACAGGCTGCTCGTGAGTTTTGAGATGCAAACACAGCACATCCCCAGATAACACGGACCAGTGAAAGGATCTGCCTGGATACGGTCCTCTTCCTCGTTTGCTGCTTTACCACCAGCACTGCAGGCCCAGGACTGAGATCAGGGCGCTGCAGCCCAACCACAAAGACCGTCTCAGCCCTGCATTGCTTGAATGAAGAACCACATGCTGAATTTAGTCAATGCACCCAATAAAAAGGACAAGTTTTTCTAGACTTAGTGTTCATCTAAAACACGACATACTTAGGGCCCTGCGTGGACTGTGGAGTCCTCTAAAGAGCTAAAGAAACCTTCGCCTTGGTCTTGTTGAACACCTCCAGCTAAATGATGCTTGAGGAAAGGAAACTCACTTCCTCACCTGCTGAGTGGCTGCTGTGCTGGAGGAAACGGCTCAGTCTCCAGGTTTTGTTTTATTGTTGTTGGTAAGCACTTGGAAGAACCAATCATGATGCCAACAAACTCTGAGCATCAGTAGGTGGGTGTTTGAACATCAAACGTGCTGGGAAGGAGCACACTGTTGGCATAACCATAAGTGCTGGGGTTGCGAGGGGAAGCACCAGCCGGGGCAATGCAAGAGTGTAATGAGAAGTTATTTTTGTAACTGAGACTATGCAGGAGAGCGCGACAATTTGTACAGGACAGCCCAGTCATACGGTGTCAAAAGAGCATCTTGTAAGAACGAGAGGCACTTATCTGCCTTTGCAAGGGCATATTTGGTACTACAGTGAGCAGTATTCCTCTGCTTATCGTCTTCGCTCGTTCATCTTTAGTTGTCATTTTTATGTTACTATGGGCTATTGTCACTAACGTTTGATTTATAGGTGTTTCCAAAATCTAATACTGCAGATCTAATCTAACTCACCAGAGAGTCTTATTACGACATAATGGGTGATATATGTAGTTTCAGGCACGGTAATCTGGCATAGTGTCTTCAGAATGATATCTGTTGATTTATTTACTGGGAAAAAAATGGAAACAGCTGCCAAAATTTTCAGATTCGTCAAGATTTATTCCCTCAATCCAATAAATTGCGGTTATTGCTACACTCTAAGGACTTGTTTCATCTCCTTGCAAATACACAGAGAGTGCTAATACATAGAGATATTTTATTTGATGTGCGTATGGAGGCAGAAAAATCCTTTCTAACAGAGGATGTTAAAGACCCAGCAAACAATGTGCCATAATCCAATAAAAATGTGTTTCATTGAGCAGCTGTTTATGGATGCCTAGGCTGGTTCTCATCACTTTTCCAGGCTGCCCTGAGCTGGATTGGGCTTTTCTTGCAGTGGCAGCAAACTGCCGTATCAGCAAACAGCAGCTCGTCGCCAAATGCCTCAGGAGTACAGAGAGCCTTGGATGCTAGCAGGAGTCTGATAGGGCTGCTGGGCAAGAAATGTCAGATAATATATGAATTCCACAGCAAGCAGCTGCAGGAATAATTGGCATATCCTTCTCCCCGTGGTCTTTCTATAACTTCTAAAAAGCTTTATCCATCTAGTGCATCAGGTTGCTGCTAATATTTACAGATACAACTCCTGTTCTGGGGAAAGCTGTTACATGATGAAAACTTTTAATTATACAGAGTTTTACCCATTCTTCAAAAGGACATTGTGCAACAAAACTCCAATTTCTCAGCATTACTCTTCTCCTGGTGTTTTCTGCAACTTCTTTCTATTCAGCGTTTGCTCTTTCTTCACCCTAAATGCCGTCTGCCATTTTACATCTCCTTAAAAGACCTTTCTCAAGCTATGTTAAAATGATGCCTTTGAGCTACTTCTCTCAATATTCTCCTAATAAATTAAATCTAAAAGACCATTAAAAAAGAGGATAGAAAATCCAAAGGCAAACTCATAACTGAATTTAAGACAGACTACGAAAGTAGTTATTTGTATGTGGGAAGTAAAAAGGTTGAAGATGATGAAACGGGTCTCTGAATGCAATTAATACTTGCATTGCACTTTTGCCATTATTATTGCAGTTAAGATTAGGCAATAAAAATAAGAGCCATAATTAACAGATGATTGAAAAGTATTTTTTATTTAACATGAAGAAATTTTCTCTCTTGTTACACATGAGAAACCAAGAGACTCACCAGAGGAGGTCTCATTTATGCAGGAAAACATCTTCTTTACTGTGTGCCACTGATGCCACTCTTACTTCTTGCCTCGCAGCCAGCTTTGACACCTGGAAAGGCACCGCTCCACGACGGTGGTGGTGCGGGTGTTCAGGCGGAAAGGTGCTCGTCGGGATGGGAGGGCGCCAGCACCCTTGCCCGTGCCCTTGGTATAGCCGGTGTCTGCGGGTCCCACGGCGCCTTGGGGTGTACATGTCCCCGTGTGTTCTGTGGCGCTCTGGAACACGCATGGCTCTGTACAAACCACACTTTGGGGTGTGCAGGGGTCCACGCCTGTAGCCGAGCACTGATCGGGGTGAAGATCACCAATGATCACACCCTGAGCGCAGCCGGGCTCCTCCGTGCAGGGCTCCACGGTTGAGATTGGGTACTGCACGGGGACGTTTTCTGTGCAGGTCGCAGCTGTCTCAGGGATGCAGGGCTCCACTGGCGAGACTGTGGGCTGGAGCAGGACACTGGTCCCTCCCTTGCTTTGAGGGGGGTCACAGGGGATCGCTGCTGGGCACACGCAGTCACCCACACATGGAGGTGTGCAGGAGTCGCAGGCAGCTGCGGGCTCAGGGCAGCAGGCATCCCCGGGAATGGGGACAGCGGGAGGTGGGCAGGTGGACTCAGCCTGAGGGCAGGCATCCAGGCAGGTGGCTGCGCTCTGACATGGGCAGGGGTCCACCTGGCAAGTCTGCTCAGGACAGGGGTGCGTGTCCTGCACAGGGCAGCCATCCGGGTCCACCACGGCACAATGTGACGGGCAAGTGTCGGTGCACGCAGCCTCCCCCCCGCAGGCAGAAGGGGTCAGGCAGGGCAGCTTGCACTGGGAAGACATCCTTCTGCACTGCAGGCAA